ATAATTTCTTCCAGAGCTGATGCAGGGTCTTTTTGGCAAAGGTTCATCTCGTTTGAAGACAGCCTCTTTGATTTGTTTCATGATTTCTCCAGTGTTGCTTAGCAGGCACTTCAGAGTGACAAACTTCTGAGATCACTTGTGCCAAAGTTGCGGGCATTGATGTTTCATTTTAGCCTCTGCTCAACTCATCATTCAAGAAGGTTCTATCTAATAGTCAGCCTGCTCCAGGAATTTGGTTACTTATCCCATGCTGACTAAGGTCATCTAACTTCTCTTAGCTCATGTTCACCTTTTGCCTCCTTACCTTTTCCCTAGTGTCCTCTGCCCAACTGGGCTTTTCAGATATGTTTCTCTCAACTAAGTTTGAGGTTTTTGTTTTATGTAGACCTGTAACTGGGTCAAAGATCCACTTAAGTCAAAGGTTGTAAAATAACCCAGTTGGCGGGTCTAGAGAGATGGCTGTTCTTCCAGAAGTCCTGAGTTCAAGTACCATCACCCATATGGTGGCTTACAACCATCTATTATGAGGTCTGCCACCTTCTTCTGGTGTGCAGGCAGGAACAATGTATACATAATAAATGTAAAAAACAAAAAACAAAAACCAATTGTCATCAAGACTTGACCCTCATTCTCAGAGAATGGCTTTAGTTTTTTGTTTTGTTTTTCTCAAGACAGTATTTCTTTAGGTAGCCCTAGCTGTCCTGAACTAGCTCTGTAGACCTGGCTGGCCTCAAACTCACAGAGATCTCCTGTCTCCTCCTCCCAAATGCCAGGATTATTAAAGACAAGCAGGGCTGTAACACTTTCAGCTGGGGAAACCCTCCCCTGGCAAAGCTGAGTTGTGACAATCTGCTCTCCGGGGACTGGAGCTGAACTGTAACAACTTAGCAGGGAAACCCTCTCCTGCTGGAGCAGAGCTGATACACTGGGGAAGCCTTTCCCTGAAGCAGGGCTGTAAGCACTGTGACCTGTGGTATTTTTGGCTCCTGAGTGCCAGAATACCTTTCCATCCAAGCTGTAACACTCAGTATTTTTTGGCTCCCCAGTGCCAGAATCCATTCTGACCATCCCATCCAAGCCATCACAATGCTTACAGAACTCGCTTCAATCTTTTTGACTCTATCTCCCAAGTGCTAGGACTAAAGGTGTGCAACTCCATTCCTGGCTCTGTTTTTTTGCTTGTTTTGTTTTCAATTTTCTTTTTCTTTATAGAAAGTAAGAGCAGAATCCCTATTTGGAGGTTTATTGGGTTTTTGTTGTTTTGTTTTTGAAGCAGGATCTCACTATGTAGCCCTGGCTGACCTAGAACTGAGCTCTTACTGCTCTTTTAAGAGTTATAATTTTGGAAGCCCAGCTCAGTGTCAAGACACTAGCTGGGCTTCCAGAGGTCCTGAGTTCAATTCCACGAAACCACATGGTGGCTCATAACCAACTGTAATGAGATCTGGTGCCCTGTGCTGGCCTGTAGGGATACATGCACACAGAACACTGTATACATGATAAATAAATCTTTTTTCAAAAAAATAAAAGTTATAATTTCAGACCAGGTAGTGGTGGAGCACACCTTTAGTCCCAGCACAGGCAGAGGCAGGAGGATCTCTGAGGTCCAGATCAGCCTGGAAACAGGGTGAGTTCCAGGATAGCCTGAGCTACACAGAGAAACCCTGCCAAACAAACAAAAGAACAAACACACAACAAGGGATGTCCAACCCTGTCTTGAAACAACAACAACAACAACAAAAAAGACAAAAAACAAAAAGGAATGTCCTGGAAGGGAAAGTGAAGCAAGAGGGCTAGTGACATTCTCCTAGGTACTGGAGACAGCTCTTAACCTTGATCCTCCAGACTGGTGAGATTATTTAGGAAACTTGAGATCTCTGAGAAGCAAAGACAGCAGATTGAGGCTGTCAAATCAATAGCAGATTGAGGCTATCCATCAACAGCAGATTGAGGCTGTCTAATCAATAGGAGATTGAGGCTATAAAATCAATAGCAGATTGAGGCTGTCCAAGAGCACATAGGATTCATCTACAAGAAACCACAATTCCCCAATCAAATGCTTTCTTCACCTATTTGAGATATCTTACTAGCCCAAGACAGGGTTTCTCTGTGTAATCTTGAATCTTGGAACTTTCTCTGAAGACCAGACTGGCTTAAAAGTCAGCGATCTGTTCACCTCTGTCTCCTGAGACTATATCAAAGGTATGCTCACCTCCAACCAGGCACCTGTATAAACTTTTTGTTGTTTTTGTTTGTTTTGGGGGGGTTGTTTGTTTGTTTGTTTTTTAGTTTATCGAGACAGGTTTCTCTTTGACTTGGAAGGCTGTCCTGGAACTAGCTCTTGTAGACCAGGCTGTTCTCAAACTCACAGAGGTACACACCTGCCTCTACTCCCAAGTGCAGGGATAAAGATGTATGCCACCACTGCCTGGCTAAACTTTTTGTTGTTATTCTTGTTGCATGCAGTCTTTTCTTGTTTGGTTGTTTGGGTTTTTTTGGTCTTTGATTTTTTGTTTTGTTTTGTTTGTTTTTCAAGACAGGTTTCTCTGTGGATTTGGAGGCTGTCCTGGAATGAGCTCTCGTAGACTAGGCTGGCCACCACTCACAAATCTTCCTGCCTCTGCCTCCCGAGTGCTGAGATTAAATTGTGTGCCACTGTCTCCCTGACTTTTGAAACCCCATATTCTGTAGCTCTCTTAGAAAGACTGAGAGCAAGGGTGGCCAGGCCTGAAAGCTTTTCGAGGACTCCCTTTTTTAAACTAGGAATCGCGGTGATGAAGTTCAGGAACCCCCCAGTGAACTCCCTCAGCTTGGAGTTTCTGACAGAGTTTGTCATCAGCCTGGAAAAGCTAGAAAATGAGAAGACCTTCCGTGGTGTCATCCTCACTTCGGTAGGTGCCTGTTCAAGCCACACACCTCCAGCCCTGACTGTGGTCAAGAGTGGTAACCTGGAAAATCTGGACCCTTCAGCATGAGGTATGGCGTGAACAGCAACCCCGACAACAAAAGGGGTCTCTAGACCACAGTTTCCAAGAGAGCAGGTTCCCAGGGGGGTACCAGGCCTGCACTATCCGCAGGAACCTGCTGAGCAGTCTCTGTGGAAACTTTATCTTCTCAGAAGCTGCCATCTAGTCATTAGCAAATGTTGCCCACCCAGGGCTCCCAGGGTACCTACTCCCCGCCTCCCCCCAGCTGCTGGTTCCCTGAGCTAGTTCCAGCAGGATACCTGTCTTGAGAGCCTGTACTCTGCTTGCCTTTGAACCATCTTAGGTCAGGTATCAGAGGGCAAATTCTTCTGCTACATGAATTCTAGAAGGGAGTCTGGACATTACCTGCAAGTGCTGGCAAATGCCAGGAACAGCACTGGTGACAGCAGTGTCACTGAAGTCAGTAAATGACCATTGAGGGAGGTGGTCCAGTGGGTAAGAAAGTCCTCAGAGGTGATTGGAGGCTTTAGAAACTGCAGTATCTGATATGGCATTCCCCTAAGATGTGGATGACTATTTAACTGAGAGGACCTCTTGTTTGGAGGCAAACAAGATTATAATAAAAGCCGTCAGTGAGATGAATGAGCCTGTGGAGTACACTGCATTTCATGTGGTGGAAGTGTCTGGATAGTCAGAATAGGGTCACCAAATTCCTGAGAGCTCTAGAAAAACTTGAGGAAAATATGTCATGTTTACCACTGCAAATATGGTAAACACCGAGCTTTTGCTTGCGTGTTGCCTAGAGTATACCCTGAAAAAAGTGGAAATCAGTGGGCAAACACAGCCATCATAGCGAAGACGGCTTCTATAGAAAAGACACAGCGGAAGTGAGCATGAAGGACTATATCAAGTGAAGAGTGAGAACAGTTCCAGTAAGGCCCTGGTCTTGGTTGGGGTTTCTGTTTGCTGTGAAGAGATACCATGACCACGGAAACTCTTATAAAAGGAGAAACATTTAATTGGGGTGTCTTACATTTTCAGAGATTTAGTCCATTATCATGGTGTGACATGGTGGCAAGCAAGCATAGTGCTAGAGAAGGAGCTGACAGTCCTACATCTTGACTCTAAGGCAACAGGAAGTGGTCTGAGATACTGGGTGCCGCTTGAGCATGTATGAGACCTCAAAGCTCACCTCCACAGTGACATACTTCCTCCAACAAGACTACACCTACTCCAACAAAGCCACACCTCCCAATAGTGTTATTCCCTATGATGAGCTTATGGGGCCAATTCATTCAAACTACTATAACCCCCCAACTGCTCATAGGAAAATGAAATATAAGGCTCATAATACAGCAGTAATGTTTCCTCCATGAAGTGTAGCAAGTCAGTTGAAACTCTAGTTAGAGTAGCAATAATTGTGGCAGAGGTGAAACAAGCACGAGTGTTTACATCAAGGCATACTGAGAATATGTGATGAGCTCATAAGATGAATCCTAAAAAAAACAATAGATCTCATAGCTCAAACTCTTCCTACATATAATGTCTTTTTATGGCCTGAATAATAAAGATATCGGGCTGGAGAGATGGCTCAGAGGTTAAGAGCACTGACTGCTCTTCCAGAGGACCTGAGTTCAATTCCCAGCAACCACATGGTGGCTCACAACCATCCGTTATGAGATCTGGTGCCCTCTTCTGGTGTGCAGACATACATGGAAACAGAATGTTGTATACATAATAAATAAATAAAATAAAAAAATATATTAAAGATATGGAAAATATTTCTGACCTGGAAGTGTTAAAATGTAAACGTCTGATTGGCTGGAAACTCAGAAGAGGTGTTGCTGGAGTATAGGGTATCTTCCTCCAGCAGGATCAAAGAAGGTCGTGTTTAAGTTTTGGCCATAAAAATATAGAAATTGCTGAGCGTTGGTGGCGCACACCTTTAATCCCAGCACTCGGGAGGCAGAGGCAAGTGAATCTCTGTGAGTTCGAGACCAGCCTGGTCTACAAGAGCTAGTTCTAGGACAGCCTCCAAAGCCACAGAGAAACCGTCTCCAAAAACAAAAACAAACAAACAAACAAACAAAAAAAAAAAAAACAGAAATTCCTGAGGCAGGGACCAGAAGGGAAGAGGGCTGCTGGAATTGGGATAGGTGACATGAATAATGGGGTCTGACACTGTGTTGTGGCTGGGGGGCTTTTATTTATTTTGGTAGGAAAACATATAATTGCACCCAGGATAGATGAAATATCAGCTAAATGAAGGGAGAAAATAGGTCTACGGATGTTCCTGCATGGTACGGATATCAGGCTAAAGGCAGTTCAACTCCTTCCTATTCCTGCTTCTGCTGTTGATAACAGGAGGAAGAATACAGGAGGAAGGAGTCAAAGGCTTCTAATGCTTATTTGTGGGAGTAAACATTAGATTCTTCCTACATAGGCCATATTCACAGACACTGGAGGTAAGAATTGCAATGTGACTTAGAAGACCACAGTTCACCTAACCATATATTGTCTTCCCAGATCACAGAAATGGGCTGACTTGTAGCTTTTCAGATCTATTTGGTATAACCAGCAGGAGTACTTTAATTCTTCACACAGAATTTGCCTCCGGGAACTAGAGAAGTGGTTCAGTGGTTAAGAGCACTGGCTGCTCCTACATAGGACCTGAGTTCATTTCCCAGGACGCACATTGTGACACAACCATCTGTAAATCTAGTCCCAGGACATCCAACACCCTCTTCTGGCTTCTGCAGGCAAAAGGCACATGCAGACAAAACACTCAAACACGGGAAATAGTTTAAAAATAAAAACCTAAATCTGCCGATTCTTTCCAAATGCTGGGATTACAGACATTCGTCACCAAGACCAAGTTTTTGTTGCTCCTGTTGTTATTCCATGTGGCCATTGTTCTATCACCCTTGTCCCTTCTGCCATCCTCTGCCCAACATGGAGATGACCCACGGGTCCATTGTCCCCATTCTCATTAGAAGCATCTGAATTGGCCCTGCATATGAATTTGATCCCAGCCCTTGGAAGGCATAGGCAGGTGGATGTCTGAGTTAAAGGCCAGTCTGGTCTATAGAGTGAGTTCCAGGACAGCCAGGACTACATAGTGTGACCCCGGGGATTGGGGGAGCATCTGAATCTAGCATAGTTGTGCCTGTTACATTACAGAAGAGGGATCCATTTCATGAACACACAAAGTGAGATCAGCACACAAGTATTGTGCATCAGTTCCTGTCCAAAACATGTGGACTCAGCTGCACTGTGACTTTGAGGTCACAGAGGATGGATGTCTGTGTCCATTCCCTCAGCTCCTGACAGGGGGTGCTGTTGGGCAAACAAAACATCTAGTTCTTGCTGGAGCAGGTGCTGCCCTGCACCAAAGCTATCACCCATGGACTCAAGCCCTAGCTAAGAAACCCTACAGAGGGGAAATCCTCAGTGGAGTTTTTAACCTGGCAGCTCCTGACCCATTTCCCAGGATTTGGTGCTGACCCTGACAAGGCACTGTCCTTATGGTGTCCCTGTAGCCCATTGGCTCTTCCTCCACCTGTGCTCTCCTACCTGCTCTGGTGGCTGGCAGACCTGAGACATCAAACTGAGGACCCACATGTGTGTCTGTGCAGATTTCTACATCTTTCTTCTGCCCCAGAATTTTCTGTCTTGCTTACCCTTGGGAGGCTGATCACAACATGTTCCTGAAAGAAGGAACTAGTACAAAGAGGAGTGCCCAGGTGTCAGCCTGGCTGGAACACAAGTGTCTCTGAGCAGTGTCCACTCTTAACCAGTTTGAAGCAAGAAAAAGGACACTCCAGAAAGTAGTCAGTCCAGGGGAGGGCCCTAGACACCCTCAGTTTTGGATTCCATGGAAGACCCATCTTACTAGCCAAACATGACCCTGGCATCTCTTGGCAGGACCTCCCGGGTATTTTCTCAGCTGGCCTGGACTTGAGGGAGATGTATGGCAGGAACCCAGCCCATTACGCTGAGTTCTGGAAGGCTGTGCAGGAGCTGTGGCTGAGGCTCTACATGTCCAAGCTGATGTTAGTGTCTGCCATCAATGTGAGTATCCCCACCCACAGTTCTCTAGGGCCTATCCAGCAGCAGGGGACACTCAAACTTTGACCTTCCTGGGCCAGACAGACAAGGCAGAGGAAATGCCAGTGGTGGGACAGGGACCGGCTGGCTGGAAATGAACCCTGGCTGCAGTTAACCCTGAGCAGCCTGGGCTACACAGGAAACCCTGCCTTGGGGAGAAGAACAGAAAGACAGGGAAAAAGCAGGGTTCTCTGAGGGCATAGCTCTAAGGATCAGAGCCATGAGAGCATAAAGGAAGAATTGAAGATAGAAAGTTAGGTGATAGCCAAAGTGGGGCCTGGGGAAGAGACACTGGTGACATGTCTCACTCAATATGGCGCATTTGGGTGCATGCAATGTGGACACTGCCGTTTTAGGGTTCCCAGGCATCCTCCTGGTAAGACTGATTGCCAGGGGTGGTAACAGCTCCATGGCCTGACAGCTATGTCTAAATACTTACTGTGAATATTAGCATCAAATAAAAGCTACAAAAGGACAGGCAACTTTCTGTCCCAAGAGTCATTGTTGGCCCCTAAAAGCTAAAGAGCCACATGCCAAGGACCTTGAGCCCATGGAAAAACTTGACTCTGTTAAGACCCAGCTGCTGATCCCTGGTTGGCCAATCTCAGCTCTCATACCGATCTGGCATACTTGGTCCAGATGCCACTGCAGTGCCAGGAGCTCATGCCCACCCTCTGCCCTGTCTAAGGAATGTTACTGGGTACTGGAGCACCTACAGACTGAGACTCTTGCTTCTCTACAGGGTGCCTCTCCTGCTGGAGGCTGTCTCATAGCTCTTACCTCTGACTACAGGATTATGGCTGACAACCCCAAGTACATCATAGGACTGAATGAGAGCCTGCTTGGCATTATTGCCCCCTTCTGGTAAGACCAGGGATTGCACTCTTACTCTACTTGACAACCTCCATCCTAACAAGGTGGTGAAGGATGATGTATGTCTTCATTCCAGGTTAAAAGACACCTTTGTGAACACCATTGGACACCGAGCAGCAGAGCGTGCCCTTCAGCTGGGGATGCTCTTCCCACCAGCAGAGGCCCTCAAGGTGGGTGTGGTGGATGAGGTGGTGCCGGAGGACCAGATACACAGCAAGGCTCGCTCAGTGATGGCCCAGTGGTTGGCCCTGTGAGGTCAGGAGCAAGCAGCAGGCAGCTTTGGGGCAAGTGGTTAAGGAAGATAGGTCACCTTCCCCATTCTGGTGATCCATCTTGATGATAGCAAAAGTTCTCACAAGTGGGGATCTATGAAAGTACTTACAGAAAGCTCTTGCAGGGCCTGGGAAGCCTTCAGGAACACGGCTGCACCTGTGAAACTCCAGCAACACCAGAACTCTTTGGTGTTTGATTTTTTTGAGACCGGGTCTCACTGTGTAGCTGAGTTTTCCCTGAAACAACCTACTTAACCCATGTCTTCTAATTTGGAATCCCCCTGCCTTCGTTTCTCCAATGTTTAGATACAAGCATGTACCACCAGTTGAGACACTAAAATGTTAATGTCATATATTTCCCAAATGTCACAAAGTATCCTTTTGAATTTTTCTAAAAGGAGCCCTCTTCTCTTAGGGAGCAAGTAGCCAGTCTCTACATGCATGAGAAAGAATCTACTGATGTGGAAAATGTGGCCAGTAATGCAATTCAAACAGAATGACATGTTAGTTATTTAAGGTGCTAGAAATGGAACTCAAGACTTTGTGCATGTGTTCTATCACTGACCTGTTTCCTGCCCTAAAAATGACATTAAGTAGCAAATTTTAAGAGGCAGGCAGAGTGGCATGTGCCTGTAATCCTAGCACTTGGAGGCTACAAAATGAAGTCCTACAAGTTAAAGACCACCGTGGGCTAAAAAGAGCTGTCTCAGCAACAGCAGTAACAAAAACTCTTGCAGTACCCTCCTCCTGTCTGCTCTTGTATTTTATTTATATGGGTTTGTTTAGACAGGGTGTTCATTTCAGGCTGGCCTTGAACTCCCTATTCCACCCTAGCTGCCCAAATGCTAAGACACCATCCTTCTGATTTTTCCGAACTATCTAGGAGAGTCTGTATTTCTATACATGAAGGAAGCCAGGAATGGCTACACACTCTCTGAAGGTGAGTTTCACAAATAACCCCATTTTCTTTAGACCATTCTCGGCAGCTGACCAAGAGCATGATGCGAAAGGCCACTGCAGACAAACTGATCAAGCAGCGAGAGGCAGACATCCAGAATGTAGTCAGCTTCATCTCTCAAGACTCCATCCAGAAGTCTCTGCATGTGTACTTGAAAAAGCTCAAGCAAAAGAGAGGCTGAACCTAGGCTGCCACACAGCAGTTCAGTCACATGTGCCATCAGGGGACCCACTGATCCCAAGGATTATAAACAAGGTGTTTTTCAACTTAAAGATTGTCTTAGCTTTTGTGTTCCTCACCTTAAAATGGCCTGTGCCTAGATGTAGAGGTGGCTCAGTGGTTGAGACCACTGGCTAAACAGGGTGGTGGTGGTTTGCGCCTAAATTTAATCCCAGCACTAGGGAGACAGAGGCAGGCGGATCTCTGTGAGTTCTAGACCATCCTGGTCTACAATACAAGAGCTAGTTCCAGGATAGTCTCCAAAGCCTAAGAGAAACCCTGTCTCAAAAAAAAAACAAACCAAAATAAACAACAACAAAAACAAAATAAAAAAGAGCACTGGCTGCTCGTGCACAGGAACCAGGTTCAAATCCCAGACTGATGTGTGGCTCATGATCATCTGTGACTCCAGTTCCAGGAGATCCAATGCCTTCTGTGCTCTGTATGCAGGCAAAATACCCAGACACGTGTCTCTCTCTCTCTCTCTCTCTCTTCCTCTCTCCCTCTCTCTCTCTCTCTCTCTCTCTCTCCCTCTCTCCCTCCCTCTCTCTCTCTCTCTCTCTCACACACACACACACACACACACACACACACACACACACACACACAACCAGTTCTGTTAGCTGGGGTAAAGAGGTCTGTCAGTAAGGTCTCACCAACTATCATGAGAGCTTGGTAAAAAGCAAGACATAGTGGATGCACTTGTAGTTTAGTACTAGATATGGCCAGCCAGTCTAGCCTAATTAGTGAGTGCCAGTGAGACACTTTGTCTCAAAACAAGGTAGATACCTCCTTGACCTCTGGCTTATACAAATGCACACTCATGAACTGCTCCTTGAAGCCTAGGGCCTACAGCCTCAACCACAAGAACCTTTTTGCTTGGTGAGCACAAAGTCACTTTGGATCTTTTACAAGGTCACACTGCATATCCATCTGAAAGCAGAATTGTGAACAATCTGCTGTTGGCTATCCCTGGCCTTTAATGGCTGTCTTTTTGAAACTTTAAGGCCAGACAGCCTCTGTCACCCTACAGGACCTCCAGAAAAAAAAACCTGTGCCCCAAGTTTTCATTTAGAAGGGGCACATAGCTACCAGAGGACCCTGGGGAACAGGAATGTGAAGGATGGTGACTATAGAGTTTTTACCACACCCCCATTCCCGCCCCACAGGGTCTCATGTGCCCGAGATGACTTTCCAACTATTTAGTTGAGGGTTGCCTTAAATCCCTGAGTCTCCTGCCTCTGTCTCCTGTTTGCTGGCTTTACAAATGCCACCACTGCTGGTTTATGTGGTGCTGGGGACCAAACCCATGACTTCATGCATACTTGGCCAGTACTCTACCCTCTGAGCTGCATCCCCAGCCCAGTACTGCTTATTCAGTGCAAGGTCCTGAATTTTACATTAGATTTTGCAAGAACCTGATGTGTAGGTTGAGAATAAGGCTTTAATAGAGCACTTACCTGGCATGCTATAGGCTCTTGTTTCAATACCAGACATGCCAAAACAAACAGAACCAAACTTTTCTAATCCATCACAAGAGGGTTTTTTCCCGTGTGATTCAAACCTATTTCTCTAATGCCACTAAAGATGTTTTATTCACCTCCATAGGCATACACAGAAATAAATACACACATGTACACAAAAATAAGTTTGAACCACCAGAAACCTCATGAGAGCCCTGTGTCCCCAGAGCTAGTTCCTGCTCCTAAAGTGATGGCACACCTGAGCATAAAATCCCCATCCTATCAGGGCCATGCCCAGCCCAGGACTTTAGGGAAAGCTGACATAAGACTCCTTTGAAGGCCTCAACCCAAGCAAGGTTACAGGCTCAGGACAGGACTTCAGTGCCAAGCAGTTGCCCTTGTTTTGCTGTGGGTTCCTTCCCAGAAAGTCTGCTCACTTCACTAGGGCAGGTGAAGCCTCCCTTGCTCCTGCAGTGCTAGGTAAGAGCCCAGCCTCTGCTTGGGATGAGTGTTTTAGGGTCCGTGATCGCAGAAATCCAGGAGGGTCCAAAAAGACATTACTACCCAAGCTGTACTTAGGGTTATGGTTCATGGGAGCTTTTGAAGTTTGCATGAGGGAAATAAGGAAGTGAGCTGGCACAGCTTCTACCAGGCTGAGAAGTGCACAAGCTAAGCCATCCATTTCCCTGGGAGCAATGGAAACAGACCGAATGGACACTCAGACCAAGTTTTGCAGCCTAGAGACAGAGGTCTCAGAGAGCATAGGGGCCTCATCTGACCTGGGATAGTCCTGACCAAGAACGGCTTGTTTATTAAGCGTGCAGCTATGTGCTTGATGCTGCTCTGGTTCCATTCATGGGTGCTCCTCACAACAGCCCTATGAAGTAGGTGATGTCAGCACACCTTACACATGAGCAAACAGGGGCTCTAAATAATCCTGTAATGTGTTCATAGCCTTTGTCCACATCAGCTGGCCCTGCCCTGAATGGTGGTTGGCCCGCCACCCAGTGATCCATTGTGGGACCATTCCGTGAGGCCAGAGTCTGCAGGTGGCATATCCTGCCTAGGCCATAGCTGTCAGTGAGACTTGAAGGTCACTTCCACAGGAAAATGGTCACTGATGGCAAGAGCCTGGAAGGAGAATGGAACCTCATCAGCTCTGCAGAGCAGCATGTCCTCTAGCTGTCTCCAACTGAGAAGTGGGGTGGTGAAGTCTGCATGGCCACCCTTGGGCCTCATAGTGCCCGTGCGTGGCAATGGAACAGAATTATGCCAACAGTCCCGACCTGGGGTACTGGCATTCTGAGAATCCTTGGCTATAACAGCCTTTGCTGGAGGCAGCACCACGTAAACACACAGAAAGCATTTCTGTGAGTCCTCCTTAGTGGGCTGGTGTGTCTGCTGGATCTATCTTCACTAGCCCTATCCCACACTCACCTGGGTCTGATCTAGGCCAAATTCCTCCTGAAAGTTGTGAACAGAGGCTGACTGGGCCTTCAGGCTCTTAGGCAGATGAGCACCGCTCACTACAATCCGGTCGTAGGCACAGTCTGAGTTGCCCACTGTGGTGTCCGCACTGTCTGGGATGAGCCATTTAAAGACCTCACTGCTGCGCAGGCGGATTGAAACCCAGTCCTGTGCCTTTACATACTTGCAGTCAGCATTAAAGTCACCCAGGAACACCATGTCCTGTGGACAAGCACAGCAGGTAAATCTTGGTCAGCAGTGCTCAGTGGTCCAGACCTGAGCACCCCTTTAGTGTTCCGGGATGTGACTGAGGAGGTGGGGGTGGAGGTTGCCTACATCAGTGTTCCACTTGTCTATCACATCAAGGTACACATCGTAGAGGGCATCGATCTCGGCTACCGCCTGGTGAGGTGCTGCGTGCAGAGGGATCAGCACTAGCTCCTTGGCAGCTTTGATAGGCAGGAGTGTGAGTGCCAAGAGAGAGAGCCTGATGGTGCTGGGTCTGGGAGAGGGCAGCATCAAACTCACCAGAACTGGGAGCTGAAAATTTTACCACAAAAGGCTCCCGGCTGAAGGCATCCTCTGGGTCTGGATACTGGTATGTGCTTATAACTGACACTGCATCTTTCCTGGGAGCAGAAGACCAAGGGGTCTGTGGAGCCGGTCACCTCTGCCCCTGTGTCCCCTCCCTTCATCCCACCCCTCACCTGTAGACAAACAGATACATTTCCTTGTATTGGTCACGTCCAAGTGGCTTGCTGCTCACAAAACTGTACTCGTGCTTAGACTCTCTGTGGAGAGATCCACCAGACCCTGGGTCAAGGCACCAATCCAAGCTTGTGATTGTAGCTGGGGATGTGGTGCCGGGCCCTGCCATACCTGTTAATTTGCTCCATGAGCAGGGACACGCTCACAAAACTGTACTCGTGCTTAGACTCTCTGTGGAGAGATCCACCAGTCACTGGGTCAAGGCACCAATCCAAGCTTGTGATTGTGGCTGCGGATGTGGTGCCGGGCCCTGACATACCTGTTAATTTGCTCCATGAGCAGTGACAATGCACTCAGGTCTGGATCTCGCACCTCCTGCACCAGGACGATATCATAGCCAGCCAGGATCTGAAGGAAGGACCCACAGGTACACTGTCTGAACCAGCCTAATTGCCTGAGCCTGGATAGCTCTTAATCCCCTCTGCTTCCAACACTTCCCCTTTGCCCTCACCCAGTTTCTCCTCTATCCCTCCTGGGCCTCACCTGTGCTATGACACTGCCACAGTCTGGATCTGACACTTTGTTGTCACCAAAGCTCTGAATGTTGAAGGCTCCAAGGCGCAGTGCTGTGGCCTCCATGGCCCACAGTGCCCAAAGTGCTGCCAGCAAAGACCTGGGCCAACCCATGGCAAAGCAGAAAGCCTGGGGACAGGAATGTCCCAAGAATAACACAAAACCGTACCAGATCATAGCATAGAGGTATCCAACTAGGTCAGGCATCCATATTGGCCTGTGTCCCTACACTCCCCATGTTTGTTCAGTGTGTATGTATGGGGGTGGGGGTTGATGATGTCTTATTGCAAAGATGGAAGGAATCTATTCCCACCCAGCCTCCAGCCCAGCTCAGCCCCTAGACTTACCTGGGCTGTGAAGAAGGTGGTGTTAAAAACTCAAGGGTCCTGAGTCAGTGTGATTCAGTCCAGAATGGGGGCCTCATGTAGCCCAAGATGAACTTAAGTCTTGGATCTACAGTAGCTCTGATTCCAAAGCACCCACAGGTATTTGAAGCCCTGGACCAGGAAGGGGCTGGACTACAGTGGGAACCGCCCCTTCCATGGAGTGGATCCAGAAGTGGCTCCCATTGCAGGGACCCAAGAGTGTAAGGGACAGGACACATGCTACACCAGTTCCACTGACTGACTTAGAATCATGACTGAAGTCCCTGGCAGCCCCCCAGAAGACTTTCAACACTACAATAAGGGACAACCATGCCAACGGCCAGCCTCTCGTTCTAGTCTCCACCTCTCCAGAAACCAGATGGTTCAGAATAAGCCGCCTTGAGCAGCATCCCATTAGGGAAACAGGCTGATGAATCAGGAAAGACCAGCCCTAGCCTGCTCAGGCATCATCTGCTGCTTCTCCAACCCTTCTCCACCCCTGAGGAAGGCATCAGCTACTCAGGCTGATCCAAGGTCCTAGGTCTTTAGACCAACCCCCTAACCCCTGGCAGTCCTAAATTTGGTCAGTGAGAAGGAACACCCCACATATAGCAGGCCTGTGAAAGCCAGAGTCATGGATCCAGCTAGGTAGGGCAGCATCAAGAGGCTGTCTGTCAACATGCCAGAAACACCCACGCACCTTGAGGCGCCACCAGGGCTGGAAGCCAAGTGTGTGGCTAAAGGGTGGCCTGAGCAGGCAGGTGTGTCCAGAGGGTACCTATGAAGGCAGTGGGTGCCAGCCCCAGAGGCTACCTCTACCTCAACATCACAAGCTGCAGGTTTTCATGTTTTATTGTAAGGCAAAAAACAAACAAAAGACTGCATATTCACACTCTTATCTCCTTTAGGTGCCTGAACTTCAATGTCTTCTGAACAGACAGGTGTGGGCAGGCACTCGGGGTCCTCGTCCTACCACCGTAGAGGCCCTCCAGCTATACGATGACTGTCTGCACCTCAATTGGGCCCTCTGGTGAAGCAATGACCAGCTCTCCTCCATGCTCAAGGATCTCTATGTCCTCTGATGACACCATTGTCACAGTGGCCTGTTCAGTACTGTTTGGACCTGTGCGGGCTGTGAGCACAGTGCCTTCACTGATTGCTGAAGCCAGTGTCATGGCCACCTGCTCAGTAAGACTCTCAGGAGTGGCAATGGTGATCGTGTCAGCAGCAGCTGCCTCTGAGCCCAGTGCTGCCTCCTGGTCCATGGTCACATTTTGTACGATGATCTGGTGCCCAGCACCAGCCTGGTGCACAATCTGCTGTACCACCTTCATGATGTGACTGTCCACCTGCATGCAGGGACCATGGGTCAGCTTGATGGGCTGCTCAGCAGCCTGGTGACCCTCCCATACCTCACCCCTAGACTCTCACCTCTGTCTGGGTGCCCTCAATGATCTCGGTGGCTTCACTGGTCTCTGTGTCATCTGCAGTAGCCTGAAAGGTCAATCAGGTCAGCCTGGGCTGTCCTGAGTCCAAAGCTGCACCCACCCCCAGCCCTATACCCACCTCAATAATATACTCTTGAGTATCAGCCACCACAGATGAGAACTCCACCAGCACGGTGTGGGGGTCTTCTGCAAGCACAGTGGCAGCCGCAGAGGGGCTCTCCTCAGACACCACCACCTCCTCCACTTCCAGCAGGCAACCCCCTGCCAACAGGGAAGCTCGGCTCAGTCAGGGCCCGTTGACCCCGCCCTCACCCTCTCCTGCCATCTGTGGCCCAGACCTTTGGTGCGCAGGTGCCGGTTGAGTGTGCCATGCTCTGCAAAGCCACGGCCACACTTGTAGCACTTGAAAGGCTTCTCGCCTGTGTGGTGCCTCACGTGCCGCACCAGTGAGCCCTTTTCTCGGAAGCCTCGGCTGCAGAACTGGCACACGTGGGGCTTCTCTTCCAGATGTGTCCGGAAGTGCACCTGCTGGGCATTCTAGGGAGACCCTTCTGTAACAGCCTGTTCTCAACCACAGCCCCCAACCCCAGGTATGGCTGGGAGACAGTAACAGAGGACACAGCAGGCCCCCAGTTAGACAATGGACGGTGGGTTCAGGCATAAGGATTCAAAGACCAACAGCCTACCTTGGTTTTGTAATGCTTGCCACACTGGGGACAAGGGAAAGGCCTCTCATCTGAGTGGACACGTCGGTGGCCCCGCACATGGGCAATGGTCTTATAAAACTTCCCACACTCTCCACAACGGAAGCGGCGCTCGTGCACATGCACCTCCTGGTGCTTCTTCAGCAGGTAGGCTTTGGGGAAGGCCTTGCCACACTGTGTGCAGGTGAATGGCCTCGGCCCTGAAGCCACACCCAATGTTAGGCCATTTTCACCACCCACAAGCCCACCAGTTGCCATCCCACAGGCCACCCGCCTACCTCCCTGCTACCCACCTATATGACCTCTCTTGTGGGCCTCCAAGGTGGCTGCTGTTGGGAAAGTCTCACTGCACTGAGGGCATGGGTGTGCCCTAGGCACCATTGAAGCTTCACTGGCCACCTGTCGGGGGACCACAGACCAACCTCTAGCACCTACTGTGAGCTATGCTCCAAAGGGGCCAAAAACAAGAGCCAGCCCTCTTTTCTCTTGGCCTCTGGTAAGGAAACTTACAAGACAAAGTTACAGCAGAAAGCATTGCTACTTTTCAAGCCAGGCACAGTGGTGCACATCTGCATTTCCAGTACTAAGAAGCAGGAAGAACAAGAACTGAGGCCAACATTGGCTCCATGGTAAATGTGGGGCACCCTAGGTTAGGTTAGACTGTGTCTACAAAGATAACAAACCCTAAAGTTAAATGAACGAGGGTAGGAGCCTCGCATGACAAGCAGGCCCTGAGTTAGCCTCACCAGAGGTCTACAAAGATAACAAACCCTAAAGTTAAATGAACGAGGGTAGGAGCCTCCCCCTCGCATGACAAGCAGGCCTTGAGTTAGCCTCACCAGAGCGATCATGCCAATAACAGAAACCTACTGTCTCTATCTGTTCCATCTCCAGCAGTGGCAGTTCTGGGGGTCCTTCTCCCAGAGACTGGTGACTGGACACAGAGGGAGGAGACGGCTCCAGAGTACTCTCCTCCCCAGCAACCCGCTCGAGGACGATGCCAGAATTCTGCATGGCCTGATGTAGCAGGTTCTCACGGTTGTTCTCACTGGAACAGGGAAGCTCCTCAGGGTCTGGGGACTGTAAGGGAGGTAGAGGAAAAGAAGGAAGGAGGGGAAGCCTGCCAGGCAGCCCACCACAGGGTATCCTTACTCACCCACTCCACATGGCACTCATGACAGGCCCCTCCTGAGAGCCCCATAGTGCACTGCCAGCTGCCTCTGTTCTCACCGAGTAAATTCCATCCCATTCTCCCTAGATTTCACCTCACTCCCTGGCAGCTTCCCTGCCTTGATACGCCATCTTCTAAGGAGTTCTCCCTACACCCTGATGTGCTTCCCAGGGTGGGGGTGGGGGTGGGGCTGGGGCTGGGGTGAGGTATAACTGTGTCCTGGGCCTTCCAGAAGGCAGTTTCTGAGCCCAGCCTGGCTGGTACTGTGTGATCAAAGGGCAGAGCAGTGCCTACCTCAGGGGCCAGGGCTTTCATGCCCAGGGGAAGCTCCTGCATCTGGACATGGACTTCATGGATGACAGTGCCCTTGGCATCTGTTACCAGGTGAATCACAGGTGATGTTTCCATGGGTTCTCCTGCCACTGATGATGTA